CACACACACACACCCTTTTCCCTCCTCATCCACAGCCCCTGCAGATCAAATCGGTTGTGGCCCCAGACCATGTGAAGGGCTATATCTATGTAGAGTCCTACAAGCAGACCCATGTTAAGGCAGCCATTGAGGGAATGGGCAACCTGAGGATGGGCTTCTGGAACCAGCAGATGGTTCCTATCAAAGAGATGACGGATGTTCTGAAGGTGGTCAAAGAAGTGACCAACTTGAAACCCAAGTCCTGGGTGAGACTGAAGAGAGGCTTGTACAGGGACGACATCGCTCAGGTACCATTGAATGTGGAGTTCAGCACACCAGACTAGTCATCACCAATTTAGACAGGTTCATGTTTGTCCTGCTTTCACTGGGTCAACACATGTTCTACCTTTCACAGGTTGATTATGTGGAGCTGAGTCAAAACACCATCTCTCTGAAGATGATCCCTCGAATAGACCTGGATAGAATCAAGGCCAAAATGAGTCTGGTACCTGAAATGAAAAAACTCTGCTCTAACTGACTCTCATGGGTTTTCTTCATTCATCTCATATGCTTTGTGTCTGTCTTTGTCCTGCAGAAAGACTGGTTCGCTAAGAAGAAGTACAAGAGACCTCCCCAGAGGCTCTTTGATACGGAGAAGATTAGGTAAGAACTAAACAAAAAGCCAAGCTTTAGTGGATCAGTGGTTCCTCCAGACACTGGTCTTTGAACAGTGAAGGAATGAGCTGGCTCTAATGTTGGTCAGGCTCCTGGGACCGGGAGACATAAGTGTTGTGGCGATTGTTTTTTCAGAGATTTGAAAACCTGATAGATCAGCGATTACCAGGCCAAAACTAGCATTTAGCTTAACCGGTGGTCGTGCCACTACATCTGAATGGTGCTTAATATGAAACCAAATGTCTCAGCTGTTAGATTTATGCCTGGATAAACAAAAATTCTTACCAACCTGAAAGTTTTTTTTTCTCTAGTCCTCTGCAATACACCTGCAAAAGTTTTAGGCAGGTGTATATATTTGTAGTCTCCCCCTTTTGTCAGCTGAGCACATGTAGAGAACTGAACGATGATTC